CAAAGTACGGACATTGAATGATTTCAGCATCCACCAATCTGTGCCCTATGTCTGAACCTTTCTGAAATTGCCAAGACAGAAGAAGTAATGCGGTGCGACAAGTGAGTTTTACTCTTACTTTTACTGGTTCATGTGTAATAGATCCGGTTTTTGAGGCTAGGCTGAATTCTTGGTTCACAAATCCTGTCTGAATTTCAAGCTTCATAAAGCGAGTGGTTTTTCATTCAGATGTGGTCTGACGGTCCATGACTCGTGCTATCCCTCGTTAGACATGAGTGGTGACAGTGAGAGCTCGCAATCTTCTTCATCAATGGAGCCATGGTTCTGTGAACCGTGTGTGTATGGATTCAATGAACCGCCTTATTGTGAACTGTGCCCCTCCAGATACGGAGCGATGAAGAGATCGGGTAAGTCACTCATTGTCGTGAAATATCCAGCTCTTCATCTGCATATTCAGATGTTGGTGGTCGTTGGGTTCACCTTCTTTGCGCTCTCTATACGCATGGTGTCACTTTCGGGGACATCGATCATCTCGGCGCAATCAGCTGGCAGGAGATGGATCACCGAAATTTTGGGCGAAAAGTTGGTTGTCAATCGGTTTTGTTTTGTTAACTATCTGACTATTGATTATATTCTTCTGGTCAGCAAGGCAGATGATTTTCATTTTTCTTTCAGGATCATTTTTCTTTCCATTCAACCTCTTCCCCACCCAATCCCTCGGGAAAGGAGGAAACAAAAAAATGGCCATCAAAAAAATGCCAGGCCACATACGACCCCCTCCATGTGTTAGGCAATCCTGTTTGATGGTGTACCCTATCCACGGCACAAGTGTTCAGCTAGCTGGAGTCGCCAAAATATAAGTTTGCGGGATACTGTACCCAAATCTGCGCGGCTAATAAAAGCACCCCAAACTTGGGTAACTACACCGGCTTGCGGCATGCCCAGTTGTGTGCGTTCACTGGGTCGACACATTTGATTTTACGCGCGATTTCCGGAAACACAACATCCTGTCTGTTTTCCTCAGTTTATGATCCTTGTGCTGAAACCATCTTTGGCTGACTGTATGAACTCAGGCTCCACTTGAACCAGAAAACCTGAGCGGTACCCAGCATTTATCCTGACCATAGTACTTGATCGGATTAGAATCATCTTGTTCAAAGTCCCTTTAACGGTTGTGAAATAACAGCCATTACTGAAGGAGCTCCCTAGGACATTAGGTGACCTGATGATCAAAACAGAGACAGTCAGGCTGCTTTGGGGCAGATGGCACCTTTGGGGCACATCGGGCATTTAGTATCTCCTTGAAGGGAAACGTATTTGGTCATTGATGGAGGAGATAGTAGTTGCATTTGTGGGAAAGATGTTTTCAGTTCTTCCCCTCCGCTGCCTCTACACTAACGGTAGCGTCCTTAAACGGCAAAAATTGAGGGAGTTTTGGAAAAAAAAAAACTGCGCGAAGAAGATGGGTTAGGAGTGGGAGGAAAGTTGGAGATACAGGAAGGTGTAGAGCGATGAGCGCATGGGAGAGGGGCTCGATGCAGGACGGGGGGGGGAGCGAACTTTGAGAAGTAGTCGCAATTGCAACACTTCCGCAATTAATTATGCGTGACTTATGGCCTTTTGTCCACGCGCTATTTTTTGTCTAGAGTAACTTATCCAGAATCAATCACCGTGTATCGTAAGGTTTCAGCGAGGGCACAACTCAGGCAACTTACTCGTTTCAACGAAATTGCGAAAGAAAAGGGGAATAAAGCTTGAAGAAATTAAAAATAATTGAAAGCAGTGAAAAAAAATTAAGTAATCTATAGTAAAATAGAAATCCGGAAGGAGAAATCAGTGAATTTGCTCTCCGCTAAGCTTACTGCTTTCAAATTTTGCTCCGCTAAGCCTTACTATTTTCAATTTTTATATTCTCGATTCATGCAAAACATTCCCGCTTCAGAGTTGCAGTGGATGTGCAGATGTGTTGGAAGCGCGGTCGGGTGTGACAACTCGATGCGAACTTGGTCTATGTAAACAGTACTACCACGTGACGTGTGCACAGAGGTAAGCCTTTTAATGTATTCACTATTTCATCCTGTATAGATGATAAGCGCGTGGGCTATGTGGCAAGAGAATCGTAATTCGCCGCGCCAGTGGCGTCGCGTGCGACGTCGCGCCCGCTAATGACGACGATTTTAGGTGGTATTGGTCGAGAATAGACAATGTATGACCAAAAATAGACATAATTCTACCACGTCCTTGTCTACATGAAATCCGATGCTCCAGTCGAAAGGGTAGTGCAAATTAAGGGAACGTCGCATCCTCTGCCGCGCGCGACGAAGCGGCGTTTACGATTCTCTTGCCCGTCTCCCAAGCGTGAGACCGACAAATCTTCATTTCAGGCTTGGATTATTGGTGGACCATAGTGAAGATGTTGATCGTACCAGTGGTAGTGGTTCACATCGTCGTGGTGAACATCACACGGTCGAACCTCGCTATATCAACTGCCGTCAACATTCCAATCCTGATGATGTGCGAGTGAAGAAGCAAGCGTGAGTTTGTGACTTTCGCGCTTTGGGGAAGAGAAATATTAGACAACTGTATGTCGAGGGAGGGCGGACAATTACGCTGTGGAAAGTTCTTGTGAAATACGACCGCGGGCATTTCTGCGACGGAGGGCATCTAGAGAGCTATTTCATGAGC